AGCTGGAGACCCTGGAGTTGGGGGTACTGGTGCTGTCTCTGCTGGTTCTGGAGGTGCTGCGCGGCCGCGGCCGTACTTCGTTCCGCTTCTTCAGCAGGTTCTTGTCCTCCCGCCTTCTACTGGTCCCACTCTTCCCTTACTGTGTCCACAGCCTGCCAAGCCGCAGTCGCAGCTAGAGCCAGCCTCTCCACTGCCTGGTCCTTCTCCTTACTCTGGGCTGACTAGAGGTCTTGTCCTGCGTCGCCTGAGTCTCGTCCTGCATAACCTGAGTCTCGTCCTGCGTCGCCTGAGTCTCGTCCTTCGTCGCCTGTTCGCGCTGTTCGCACTGGTAGTCGTGTCCCGCGTCCGCGCCCTCCTCCTGTCCCTGGCACGCACCAGATGGCACTTCGTCCTTCCACTGCTCCACTGGGCGTCCCTCTGCCGTCTCCTCCTACGTCATCTCTTGCTGACGGTCCGGACCTGGAGTCTGACTCCCTTCTTGTTGCTAGTCCTACTGTCACTCGTCTACTAGCCACTGTTGTCACAGACCCGTCATTTGAGTCCACTGCTGCGTCTGCCCTAGTTGCTGAGCTTGTTGACTTTGCTGCCGCCTGTCGTCTAGACTAAGCCGATAGTCTTGTTGCTCAGTCTGAGTATGAGTCGGTCTGTCCTCCGTCCATCGGGGGTGAGTGTGCTCTTGGCACGGACGTCCTTGAGGACAGGCAGGAGGAGTTTGAGTGATTTGCCGCTGCTTTACCTCATCTCGTGTTTATGCTGATTGCCCCTGATGGAGACCCGGATGCACCAGACATCCCGACCCCGCGCTCTTACGCAGAGGCGATAGAGGGTCCCTACTCCTCTCAGTGGCAGACAGCCATGGACGCAGAGATGGCTTCTTGAAAGTCCACAGGCACCTACGTCGACGAGGTTCCCCCGCCTGGGGCGAATATCGTCAGTGGCATGTGGATTTTCAGGGTGAAGCGGCCGACGGGTTCTCAGCCTGTCTTCAAGGCGCGTTACGTTGCACGAGGCTTCAGTCAGCGAGAGGGAGTTGACTTCTTCCAGACATTCTCCCCCACCCCGAAGATGACCACTCTTCGAGTTCTGCTGCACATAGCTGCTCAGCGTGACTACGAGCTGCACTCTCTTGACTTCAGCACTGCTTTCCTACAGGGCAGCCTGCACGAGGAGATCTGGCTGCGCCGCCCACCTGGCTTCACTGGGTCGTTTCCTCCTGGTACCCAGTGGAGCCTCCGGCGGCCAGTCTACGGTCTCCGCCAGGCGCCCCGTGAGTGGCACGACATACTGATGACGACCCTTGCGGCTCTTGGCTTTGCTCCTTCCACTGCTGACCCGTCGCTGTTTCTACGCACCGACACCTCTCTGCCGCCGTTCTACGTCCTCGTGTACGTCGACGACTTGGTCTTTGCCACTTCTGACACTGAGGGACTCGCCCACGTGAAGTCGGAGCTGCAGAAGAGACACACGTGCACAGACCTGGGTGAGCTGACAAGCTATCTTGGCTTGCGGATCACCCGGGATAGAGCACAGCGCACCATTACCTTGACTCAGTCACACATGGTGCAGCAGGTCCTTCAGCGCTTCGGCTTCACGTACTCCTCGCCACAGCCCACTCCTCTGCCTACTCGCCACTCGCTCTCAGCTCTGCCTTCAGATGAGTCCGTAGAGCCGAGTGGCCCGTATCCAGAGCTTGTGGGCAGCCTCATGTACCTGATGACCTGGCCTGGCATACCCTCTTAGCATCCTGGCACGCTATGTTGGTCCTGGGAGACACAGGAAGGAGCACATGGATGCCGCTAAGAGGGTGTTGCGCTACTTGTGCAGTACGTCGGGCATGAGGCTCGTGCTTGGAGGACGGGCTCGAGTTGTCCTCACTGGTCACACAGACGCTTCCTGGGCTGACGACTTGGCTACGCAGCGGTCGTCACAGGGTTACACTTTCAGCCTTGGCTCCGGCTCAGCTCGTCTTCTGTTCTCAGCTCCAGCTGTGAGGCTGAGATCTACGCAGGGGCCATGGCTGCACAGGAGTTACGCCGGCTCACCTGACCGACCTGGGAGAGCTGCCTCGTTCTCCTCCAGTGCTGTACGTCGACAACAAGGCCATGATTGCCTTGTGTCAGGAGCACAGACTGGAGCAGAGGACGAAGCACATCGCTCTGCGTTACTTCCTTGCTCGAGAGTTGCAGCAGCGTGGTCAACTTCATCTTGCTTACGTGGCCTCTCGTGCCAACACTGCTGATATCTTCACCAAGGCACTTCAGCCTTGTTATCACCAGCGTTTCTGTATTGTTCTAGGCCTTGTGCCTACTTGGCCACACTTGCTCACTTCTTGACTTTGCTTGTAGTGTGATCTATATACATATACCTGCATGTTTACTCTTGCTAGGTTTTGATCACTGTGTTGCTTGTTCTGCTTTATATAACTGTGCATGTGAACTAGCCTTGTGGCCATTTGCTTGTGCCTAGAGTGTCTGGTGACTTTGTAATCCACCCTGAGCTTGCTTTTCTCTTCTTGACTGGTCTTGTGACCTCTTGTTCTCCCCCTCTTTTCCTATGGGGGTGTGTCAAACTTATATGTTATAGTCTGTGTAGGCTGTATTGGGGTAGGCAATATGGGGTACAACACTTTTAGGTTTTCCTACTTGTACCCACTTGCTTTCTAGTTTATCCATTCCTCGTTCTTTGTTTTCACAACAGTCACCCTCTGCACTAATAGTCAAAGCATACATGTCAGCAAGGATAGCGTCATAGTCAAGAGCAAAGATATCCACACCCGGCCTAAGGAGCTCTAGCCAATGGGGGAAATCAGTCGCATCGGAAAACTCTGCGCGCCAGGCGTTGTCAAGACGGGAGAAGCAGCGGGATTGTGTGTAACCAACCTTCCCGCAAATCTGACCAGCGCGGTCACTTGTGTGAATGACGTACTGGCAGCGAACACTACCCCCAGACGCCCCACGCTGAGCAAACCACTCACAAAGCTCCTAGGACGTAGGGGTCTCACGCGGACGCCACTGCTGCTTCCTCTGACCACCGCCAGAACCTCCCCTCTGACCGGTTCCACCCCGACCGCCACCAGTGCCGCCTCCACCACTCCCACTTCCGCCACCATTGCTGCCGCCACCACTCCCACTGCCGCAGCCCCGACCTCCTCAGCACGAAGGAAGTCAACAGCAGCAGCAGAAGCGTGGGAGGGGGCAAGGGCGGAGGGGGAACACCCCTCAAAGAAGGGAGTGCGAGGAGTGCCACGAGCAGCACCTACAGTGACTATGCTGGCCTTAGTTGCAAGGAGGTGCTTCTCGAGCAGGTCGACAGTGAGGTCAGTGGGGTCCATGGTGAGAAAGAGGTCCCTGACTGCGCTAAGAGAGTCAGGGAGGCGGGTGACGATGAAGTAGAGAGCGATGTACATGGGGGAAGGGTTCTTGTCTAGAAACTTGGTGGGAAGCGCGGCGCGGTAGCGAGTGTCACTAGTGCAAAGGTGGGTGACTAGGCCGTTGACTGTGCCAAAGGCGGACAGCTCGGGAAAAAGGTAGGGCAGTATAAGGCGGCCGAGAGCAGCAGTGGCAGGGGAGGAGTAACAAACGACTACATCGTCGTACAGGGCTTTAGCCGTCTTGTGCTGGCCAAAGTGAGCGCGTTCGGCTAACGGTAGGTGGTTGCAAACGACTAGGCGAGCAGCAGCGTCACGGGTAAGCTACTGTGAGCGGGTCGCACTGTCTGCTGTGTCGGGAGGGGCGAGAGAGTCTCCAGACGTGTGGTCAAACAACGAAACCCGTCTCTAGAATCGCTCAGTAGCAACAGCTGTAAGTCATCAAGCCACGTATCGAACTGGATCGGACGGCCCTCAGGATCGAATGTGAGGACGCTGAGAGTAGCCATAGCGGGCAGAGCAGGGTGGCGCGTGAGCAAGGACTGCACGACGGGTAGGGCGGCGCGCAATTGCTAGGGAATCGCACAGGGCAGGGCGGGGCGGTGCACGGCTAGGGCAGGGCGGCACGACTGGCAGGGCAGGACGGCGGCCAGCAAGGCGTCGCGCGGGCAGGGCAGGGCAGGGCGGCGGCCAGCAGGGCGGCATGCGGGCAGGGAAGGGCAGGGCGGTGGCCAGCAGGGCGGCGCGCGGGCAGGGGAGGGCAGGGCGGCAGCCAGCAGGGCGGCGCGCGGGCAGGGCAGGGCGGTGCGGCGGCCAGCAGGGCAGCGCGCGGGCAGGGCAGGGCAGTGCGGCGCACAGGCAGGGCAGGGCGGTGCGGCGCTAGCAGGGCAGCGCGACGGGCAGGGGAGGGCGGTTCGCGACCAGCATGGCGGCGCGACGGGCAGGGCAGGGCGGCACGGCGCTTGCAGGGCGGCGCGACGGGCAGGGCAGAGCAGCGCGCGGCCAGCAGGACGGTGCGTGGGCAAGGCAGGGCAGTGCAAGGCCAGCAGGGCGGCGCGACGGGCAGGGGAAGGCAGCCCGCGGCCAGCAGGGCGGCGCGCAGGCAGGGCAGGGCAGCGCGACTGGTGGAGCAGCGCGACGGGCAGGGTAGGGTGCTACGAGTAGGGTAACGCGTTACGGGAGGGAACTATTCTGAAAAAAAAAAACGGTCATGGAACAGGACCTGCTCTGAAACCATGTCAGAATACTGAACGAGAATGATAACATTGTGAAGAAAGTTGGTACAAGTACTCACCCTAATTGGGTTGTACCCCTTGTGGGCTACCCCGCTAACATTATAATCGTTTGACACTAGCTGCTGCTGGAGGGTGTATGATCAAGATCAACAGACCATACTGCATCCGGTTTTCAGGAGTGTCAACGGAGTGCACCGAGGAAAATCTCCTAGGTGGGAGGACCACCAGCACAAGCACCAAACTCGGTGTTGACATGTCCTCTTGGGTTGGACCTGGAACTCCATCTCTCTCCTCCACCACACTCTCCTTGAGCGCTTTCTCCAAGGACGGACTCCTAACTCTCACCTAGAGTGTGGAGAGCCATGGATCTTACCTTCGGCTACTCTCGGGGAGACAACATGGGACGAGACTGGAAGTTGGGGAGATGGGGACACTCAGGCGGATGCAGAGGAGGGTGGCAACCCGATCATGAGAATGAAAATCAGAATCAGGGCGGAGGTCGCGGGCGCGGGGGGGGGAGAGAGAGGGTGGGGAAAAAGAGGGAGGAGGAGAAGGAGGGGGAGGAGGAGGAGGAGGAGGAGGAGGAGGAGGAGGAGGAGGAGGAGGAGGAGGAGAAGGAGGGGGAGGAGGAGGAGGAGGAGGAGGAGGAGGAGGAGGAGGAGGAGGAGGCAGAGGAGGAGGAGAAAGGGGGGAGGGAAGAGAAGGAGGAGGAAGGGGAGGAGGAAGAGGAGGAGGAACGTCAGGTTCAGGCGGCCAGGAAAGGAAGGGGCCTAGCCTGTGGCCCTTCCTGCTGAGTGACAGAGATTTCGTGAATCAGTCGCACATGAGGACTTTCGTTAACGTGATGAAAGCTCAAGACGCTTCAAGTACATCCGTTTTTTTGTTACTCTTAAATTCCTCAGCGCGATAAAGAACTGTCCCCGTCAATGTTGCTAATGCAATGGAACGATTTCTCTCATTGGCATCCCAACCAACCATGGCTGCAGATCTGGTGATTGTACTTGTGGATGACAAGCTGTACGGCAGTCGGATGGTGGTGAGCACTTGCCAGGAGGCTGGTGGTGAGCACTTGCCAGGAGGCCGTGGCATGCGGGCCTTCACGATCCGTGGCTGCTGGGAGTCACACCCACTCATGTCCTTCCAGGGCCTCATTCTGCCTATGCTCAGCATCTTCTGTCAGGTGGCGCCATTCAATTTCGCTTGCAAATCTGTTCCCCAATCTGCCGAACCAAGGTTTTGTTTGATGCCTTGTATCAATTCCTATCTTTCCGATTTAAGCTTCTATGTCTCTTCTGCCCTTCATTCTTGAAACGATTCTCTGCAGCCCGAGTTTTTCAACAACCCCGCATCAAGCAAGGTGAACGTGACGCTAGCGGCAATCGCGGAGGTGCCAGGTCTGCAGGAGTACCTCGTCTGCCGCATGCGACTCTACACTGAATGTGCAGAGATGCGCGATCCATCACTGGACGACACAGACAGTATCACAGACTGGGACATGGCCATACACGTTATAAGAACCTTCTTTAATGTAGCCATGGACCGCTTCTACTCCCTGTTTGACGCTGTGCAAGCGAGAGCGGACGTTGAGGTGCTGGACACGATGGTTGAGATCTGGCAGGTGCAGATGCCAGTGCTTGACGGCAGGTACCACAGCCTGTGGTCCACGCTCGACAGGCTGCGAAAGTCGCTGCACAGACGCCAGCACAGTGAGAGACAGAGGGAGAGGATGGAGGAAGGCCAGCAGCTGCATGCTGACTTCCCTTCAGGTTTGTTGTTCTCATATCACGCTGTAGTGGGCTGCTAGAATGGCCATTCTCGTCTGATAGAAGCTGTACATGATGCACTTTATTTCCGTCACATGTAAGACGCTGTAACAAACGATTTTGTGCTGCTGCTGTGTTGTGCTATGCTGTGATGTGCTGTGCTATGATGTGATGTGGCATGGTTTTGCAGGTCAGCGCCTGTCCAGCATGCAGGCTGAGGATGGTTTGGGCGAGCTTAGCTTGGAAGGTCGTCCACGCCACGACAATGACCATATCGAGATTTCAGCCGTAAGATGCTCTTGATATGACATTATGTGACAATCGCCCGTGATCATGTTTTCCATGAGGTCATAGATGGCCCTCGCGGGCTCACCTTAAATGGCTGCCCACAGCATGCTATGACACTTGAAACTATAGCCATAAGATGCTGGCTTGTTTTGATGCATTTCACATAGAAATCGTGAATTTTATGGGATTGGAGTGTTTTTGTTTTGTATTGTGACCATGCTAGTGGCCATTTCTCTCACAAGTTTCCCGTGCCTTGATTAGGTTTTGTGTCTGATGGCAGACAAGCTCCTTGTCCAGACAAGCTCCTTGTCCTGACAAATTCCTTTCTTGATGAGAAATCTACGCAGGTGTTTCTTTCATGGTTCCGTTCGACCAGGGGCTTTAATGGATATTTTCCTAACTTCGATTAATTTCTTTCCTCTCCTAATACCCGTCTTGCCCGACTCCAGATCTCAGTGGCGTCAACGATGGACGAGATTCTCTGCGACGCCGCGCCCTACCTTCCGCACAACCACCCCAACGAGCCGCACTGCCTGCCAGCGGGGTCACTGGGGCGCCACGTAGACATTCAATTCCGCCTGCTGTGCCACGACCTCGTCGCCCCCCTCTGGAGCAAGGCGCTCTTCCTCCTCCACCGCCTCACTTACGAATCGTCCGGGGGTGCCCGTGGTGCAAGCAGCAGCGGGAGCAGCAGCAGGGGGGAGGCAATGGGGCTGCTGAGGGCATACAGGGAGTCGGTGAGGGGTGTGGCGGATGCGATGAAGGGCATGGTGGGGTTGTCCTCGGAGGGCATAGACGTGTATCTACTAAGGGATGTGCGAGTGCTCTCCATCCACGCAGACCAGCGCAGCTGCATGTACTTTTTGATTGACTTCCTCGAGCCCCCCATGCCGCGCGGCTGGCAAACTCGTGACAGGTAGAGCTCTGGCCTGTGTGGGCAAGCAAGGCTTACTCTTAACTTAACCTAACCAGGCCGGCCGTACTTGTGTGATGGGAAAGTTGAAATGCTTGCTAATGGTGTGTGTATCCGGCTATCCCCTCTACACCCTTTGTTCTCTGTCACTCGCAGGGTTGAATTCTGGGAGAACACGCGGAGGCTGCAGCACGGCGCCCTGGTCTTCCTGTGGATTCGAGACGTCCAGCCAGGCCTCAATCACCACACCCACTTGCAGCAAAAGTTGCAGCAGCAGCTGCGAGTGCCATTACATTCCCCCCATGCAAGAAACACGCCAGCCGCTAGTGACACTTCCTCCCACCGCCTCATCTTTGCCATCATGAGAGCTCGGGACACAAAGAGATTTGCTGCTGCCCGACCGCAAATCGCAGTGCAGCCGTGCGGGGGGAACGGGTTCAGTGCGGACCTGTTGGGGGGGGAGTGGGAGGTGTGGTGGGAGGACGCAGGAGGTGATGCTGGAGGCCCATGGGAGCTTCTTTGCGTATCACCGAGGCGTCTCTGCCCTTTGCTGAGTACATCTGTGGGGTATCTGACGGGGCACCTGGTGGTGCATCTGGGAGGGCACCTGGAGCATACAAGCTACCTGCGTACATCCAAACGGGCATGAGGTGAGTACAAAGGGGTGGAAAGAGGATTGGGTGTTGGGGGAGGGAGGCAAGATGGGGATGGAAGGAGAGGGGAATAGTTTGAGGGCTGCACTGTTAGCGAGAGAAAGAAGATATAGAAAGAATATGGGAAAAGGTGGAGGTGTTGGTGTTGAAGAGAGAGGAGGGACAAGGAGGTTCAATTGGTGCATCCTCATGAGGCTAACATTAGGAGCCATGTGTGCTTCTTGCATGTATGACTGATGTAAACTCGAGCCTGCTTCAACTCTTGTAAGAGCACGAGTCTCTCTTGCACTTAGGCACTGGACAAGGCATGTGTTGTCTTCCCCCTCCTTTACCCCCCTTCCTTGGCAGGTACGACTTGAGCTTGTTGCTCAAGACCAAGGTATCCTCCTCCCAGCAAGCACAGATCGCACTAGAGGACGAGAATGCCATCAGCCAGCCCATGGCCTTCCCATCGTGACTATACCTGTGTTGTGCGTTTCCTTGGAAGGTACGACTTGAGCCTACTGCTCAAGACCAAGGCCCAGCAGGAGCAGATCACTCCAGAGGACGAGTATGCCCTTAGCAACGTGAGGATTACCTGCCCCACGGCCTTCCCCATAGATGCTCTCCTGCGCTGCACGTCGCTGGACCAGCCCCAAGCTGCGGCCCTTACCCAGGAGTTTGCTCTGCTGCAGGGCCCCCAAGGAACCGGCAAGGTGTGTGAGCTAAAGGCCTGTTTCTCGCTCTCGCTCCTGAACATCTCGCAGGAAGAAATTTGGCCACTTCTGTCTCTGTGACTCACTAAGGTGGTGTCGTGTGTTCCCATGGCAGACGTTCGTGAAGATAAAGCTGGTGGAGATTCTGCTGAGCAATGCATTCAAGAGCAGCGCTAAGGGGCATGTGTCTCGAGGCAGGGAGGCGGGCAGTGCCATGGGTCCCATCCTGTGCGTGTGCTTCACCAACCACGCCCTGGATCAGTTCCTAGAGGGCATCATTCGTTCTCTACCACCTAGTCACTCGTCTCCCTGACTCACTTCGCGCAGTCAGGGACCACTTTCTCGCCCTCTGCCCCACCGAGCTCCTCGAGAAGCATCTGCTTGCAGCTGAGTCTAGCATAGTTGCTGTAGGTGCCTCTCGTGGCGACCCCAGCACGCCCTTCTTTGACGGGTGTTCCCCTCCCCCCCTTCTCCCCTCGGTTGCCTCTGCTGCCGCTGTCGACTTCCTTGGTGCTGAGGAAGTCGGGGCTGTGTCTGCTCCTAGCTGGAGGCGCAAGGGCGGCAAGGGCAAGGGGGGCAAGGGTGGTGGTGGTGCTTGCGGGGGAGGTGGAGGTGGAGGTGGAGGTGGAGGTGGAGGTGGCGGCGGTGGGGGCGGTGGGGGTGGTGGCGGTGGTGGGGGTGGTAGCGGGGCTGGGGGGGTGGGTGGCAGTGGCGGGGGTGGTGGCGGCAGTGGTGGTGGAGGAGGCCGGGGTGGAGGTGGTGGTGGTGGAGGCAGTGGGCGTGGTGGTGGCAGCTCGGGTGGTGGTTGGGGTGGACCGGCGCAGCGTGGAGGCTCGGGTGGTGTCCAGCGCCAGCAGCAGCGTCTTGGAGAGACCCCGTCGTCCCAGCAGCTTCGTGAGTGGTACTCTCAGCATGGGGGGTCTGGGGGCGGGGGTACCTGCACGTATGTCATCCGCACAGGTGACCGCGCTGGTCAGACGTGTGGGCGGTTCCACACGCCACAGCGCTGCTTCTTCCGTCTCGATGACGCCTGGCGTGCACAGTTCCCTGAGGCCTCTGAGCTGCCCCGCTGGGCTGATCTGCTTAAAAAGAACATTGATGTCTTTGCACTTGACTTTGATGTTATCCTTGGAGCCATGTATGCATTGACTATTAGTGTTGAGGGTGACTGTTACTTGTGTGTGCCACCAGACCCAGGCATTACGACCAGTGAGGCTGCCGCTCTAGGTGCTAGTGTGTCTGCTGCCCCAGGTCCTGCTGAGGCTGCTGCTCTAGGTGCAGGTGTGTCTATTACTTCAGGTACTTGTGAGTCTGCGCTTTCAGGTACTGCGTCTACTGAGGCACTACACACCTTCACACTGGACTCTGGTGCTTCTCGCTGTTTCTTTCGCGACCGCACTGCCCTTGAGCAGCTCCCTAGGCCGGTTGCTGTCTCCCTGGCTGACCCCTCCGGGGGTCCGGTCCTTGCGACCTCCAGCACTGCCCTCCCTTGTCCTGCTGTCCCGTCCGGCACCCTGTCGGGCCTTTACCTCCCCTCGTTCTCTACGAACTTGGTGGCAGGTTCCGCGCTCCAGGATGCGGGTGTTCACCAGTTCACCCCTGCCTACGAGCGTGTGACACACTGCACGTGTGCCCACACGGGTCGACACCTGGCTACCTTCACTCGGCAACCGGGGTCGGACTTGTACACACTGACCACTGAGTCCCCTCAGGTAGCGGCGTCTGCGTCTGCGTCAGGTCAGTTGTCCGCCCCCTGCTCGTGTCGCACCCTGTCGCACCGGACGGTCCTCTGGCACCACCGCCTTGGTCACCCTTCGATGCAGCGCCTTCGTGGCATGCACTCCCGTTACCTTGTCTCTGGTCTCCCCCGGTCACTGCCTCCCCTGCCACCATCCCCTGCCCCTCCCTGCCTTCCCTGTGTCGAGGGGCGGCAGCGTGCCACCCCTCACTCCTCTGAGTTTCCCCCGACGGAGGCCCCTCTGCAGACCCTTCACATGGACGTGTGGGGCCCAGCCCGCGTCCGTGGACAGGGAGGAGAGCGCTACTTCCTGCTGGTAGTTGACGACTACACGCGTTACACCACGGTCTTCCCCTTGCGCACCAAGGGAGAGGTCCCTGCTGTTTTGATCCCTTGGATCCGCGCTACCCGTCTCCAGTTGGAGAGGCGCTTTCGCACGGACCTTCCCGTCCTACGACTACACTTTGACAGAGGTGGTGAGTTTTCCTCCGGTCTCTTGGAGACCTTCTGTCAGGAGGAGGGCATTCGCCAGACGTTCATGCTTCCGGCCTCTCCTCAGCAGAATGGGGTTGCTGAGCGCCGCATTGGCTTGGTCATGGAGGTCGCTCGTAACTCCTTGGTCCATGCGGCTGCCCCCCATTTTCTGTGTCCGTTTGCGGTCCGCTACGCCGCGCATCAGCTCAACCTCTGGCCCCGTGTCTCCGTTCCGGAGACCTCGCCGACGCTGCGTTGGACGGGAGAGGTTGGCGATGCGTCTGTGTTCCGGGTTTGGGGATCTCGTGCCTTTGTCCGCGATACGTCCGCGGACAAGCTCTCCGCCCGCGCTGCTCCCTGTGTTTTCCTTGGCTTTGTCCCTGACGCGCCTGGCTGACAGTTTTACCACCCCACCTCGCGCCGGGTCTTCGCCTCTCAGGACGTCACGTTTGACGAGTCGGTCCCCTTCTACCGTCTCTTCCCCTACCGCACTGCCCCGCTCCCCCCCCCGCCGCTCTTCCTCACGCCAGGTACTGCTTTGGTAGACCCCCTGCCTCCCCAGGGTCCTGCTCCCTCAGGTGTTTCCCAAGTAGACCCGGTCGAGCCTGTCGAGGTAGCGGTCGACTCTGGTCATCCGCGAGGTACTGAGCGTGCTGAGCCTGAGCGAGCTGAGCCTGGTGGTGCTGGGTCTGGGGGTACTGAGACTTGGGGTGCTGAGCCTGGGGGTGTGGAGACTGGGGGTGCTGAGCCTCGGGGTGCGGAGACTGCGGGTGCTAAGCCTGGGGGTGCAGAGACTGCGGGTGCTGAGCCTGGGGGTGCAGAGACTACGGGTGCTGAGCCTGGGGGTGCTGAGACTGCGGGTGCTGAGCCTGGGGGTGCTGTCCCTGGGGGTGCTGAGTCTGGAGGTCCTGAGCTTGGGGGTTTTGCGCCTAGGGGCGCTCTCTCTTCCTAGCAGCTGCGTGAGTGGTACTCTCGGTACTGTAGCCGCCTCCGTGGTGCTACTGGAGCTGGAGCTGAGGGCGCTGAGCCTACTGGAGAGGTGGTGTTGCTGCTGACCTTGGGGTCGGCACTGGAGGTGCTGGAGCCACTGGTCCTGGAGGTGCTCGTACTGGTGGTACTGGAGCTGCTAGGACTGGGGGTGCTGCTGGAGGTGCTGCTGGTGCTACTGGAGGTACTGGAGCTGCTGGTGCTGCTGGAGGTACTAGAGCTGCTGGTGGTGCTGCAGGAGTTGGAGCTGCTGCTGGAGGTTCTGGTGCTGTCTCTGCTGGTTCTGGGGGCACTGCACAGCCGCGACCGTACTTCGTTCCACTCCTCCAGCAGGTTCTTGGTCAGCCGCCTCCTCCTTGTCCTGCTCCCTCCTTAGAGTGTCCTCCGCCTGTCCAGTCGCTGTCTCAGCTACCACCTGCCTCGCCACTTCCTGGTCCTTCTCCCTACACTGGTCCGACAGGCGGTCTTACAGAGCGTCGTGAGCCTGAGTCTCGTCCTGTGTCGCCTGAGTCTCGTCCTGTGTCGCCTGTTTGTGCTGCTCGCACTGGTCGCCGTGTTCCGCGTGAGCGTCCTCCACCTGTCCCTGGCACACACTATATGACTTTGCGTCCTTCCACTGCTCCACAGCGTGTCCCTCTGCCGTCTCCTCCTGCGTCCTCTCTTCCTGTCCTTGCTGACCCGGAGTCTGACCGGGTTCGTGCTGCCAGTCCTACTGTCACGCGTCTCCTGGCCACTTCTGTCACTGACCCTTCCTTTGAGTCTGCTGCTGCGTCTGCCCTAGTTGCTCAGCTTGTCGACTTTGCTGCTCGCTGTCGTCTAGACTACGCCGCGAGTCTTGTTGCTGAGTCTGAGTCTGTCTGTCCTCCGTCCGTCGGGGGTGAGTGTGCTCTTGGCACGGACGTCCTTGAGGACAGACAGGAGGACCTTGAGTGTCTTGCAGCCGCTGCGCCTCATCTCGTGTCCATGCTACTTGCCCCTGAGGGAGATCCGGATGCTCCAGACATCCCGACCCCGCGCTCTTACGCTGAGGCGATCGCGGGTGAGTACTCCTCTCAGTGGCAGTCAGCGATGGACGCAGAGATGGCATCCTGGAAGTCCACTGGCACTTACGTCGACGAGGTTCCCCCTCCTGGGGCGAACATCGTCAGTGGCATGTGGATTTTCAGGGTGAAGCGGCCGCCAGGTTCTCCACCTGTCTTCAAGGCTCGTTACGTTGCTCGAGGCTTCAGTCAGCGAGAGGGAGTAGACTTCTTTGAGACCTTCTCCCCCACCCCGAAGATGACCACTCTTCGGGTGCTACTGCACGTTGCCGCTCAGCGTGACTACGAGCTTCACTCTCTTGACTTCAGCACAGCTTTCTTGCAGGGCAGCCTGCACGAGGAGATCTGGCTGCGCCGCCCTCCTGGCTTCAATGGGTCGTTTCCCCCTGGTACCCAGTGGAGCCTCCGGCGGCCGGTCTTCACTGTGCTGTTTGTGTTGCATATATGCCTCTGCATGTGAACTGGCCTTGTGGCCCTTTGCCTGTGCTCAGAATGTGTGGTGACTTTGTGATCCACCCTGAGCTTGCTTTGCCTTTCTTGACTGTTCTTGTGACCCCCTTTGCTCTCCCCCACTTTGCCTATGGGGGTGTGTCAAACATTATATATGTTATAGTTATGTAGGCTATAGTGGGTTTAGCCTTAGGGGGTACACAATTCTAGCTTTTCCTACTTGTACTCTCGATCTTCCTAGTGCAACGACTTCAATCACTCTAACACGTAGCGCCCTATCCTGCCCGTCGCGCAGCCCCACCAGTCGCGCTGCCCTGCCCTGCCCGCGCGCCGCCCTGCTCGCTGCCGCGCTGTCCTGTCATGCCCGTGCGCCACCCTGCTGGCTGCCGCGCCACCCTGCCCTGCTTGTCGCGCCGCCCTGCTGGCCGCGCGCCGGCCTGCCCTGCTCTTAGCGTCACCCTAGGACCCGCGCGCCGCCCTGCCCTGCCCGTCGCGCCGCCCTGCTAGCCGCGCGGCGCCCTGCCCTGCCCGTCTCGTCGCCCTAGGACCCGCGCGCCGCTCTGCCCTGCCCGTCGTGCCGCCCTGCTAGCCGCGCGACGCCCTACCGTGCCCGTCGCGTCGCCC